GCAGGGTTGGTGTCTGCACCTGCTGGACACTGTGTTCCAGATAGTTTTTAAGAAGTACACAGTGTTAGCAAGAGGGGTTATTTTTAAAGTCTTTTAATAATGTTTAAATTACAGTCTGATGCATTTTCTAATATACAGAAAGAAAATAAGTTGTTTCTTAAGGAAGGAGTTGCTGTTCGTTAATCAGCTGGCACATTGTGCATGCTTAAACGAAGAGGAAATGGACACACTTGTAGCCTGCTCTAGAACAGCTTTTGTATCCAGATGTTCAGCTGAACAAAGAGTGAATTTCAGTGTCCTTTAATAAAGCCCTCTCTCTTCCTTGGAATAACAATGATTTAAGGAAATTTCTTGTGTCTCCAATCTTGTGAACTAGGGAATGAGTGTAACTTATACTACGCTTGGAGAAGATATTGCCACGCTTAATTTAACAAGGAGTTTTAGCCTCTGAAGATAACTTAACACGGAGTTAATTTAACAAGGAGTTTTAGCCTCTGAAGAGTGTCTTGACTGGTGTGTGTTCCTGTGGAAACTTCCATATGCTGGAGCAGAATGAAGTGATGTGCTGGTGTGAACGGGGTTGCTTTCAGGGTGATTCAGGATAATCCCGCTTACCGCTGCGTTGTTCTTTATTCCAGCTCGTGGCTTGGATATCCCTTCCATTAAGACCGTCATCAACTACGACGTGGCTCGGGACATAGACACGCACACCCACAGGATCGGCCGTACTGGCAGAGCGGGCGAGAAGGGAGTTGCCTACACGCTGCTGACTCCCAAAGACAGTAACTTTGCTGGTGATCTTGTCAGAAACCTAGAAGGTGCTAATCAGCATGTTTCTAAAGAGCTGTTGGACCTAGCGATGCAGGTATGAACCAGCAAAACTCCTTGAGTAGAGGAAGGTTCCTTCTATGATTAGCACAAAATCAGGAGCTCGGGGACTGGTTCTGGCTCCATCATAGGTTCACAGTGACCTTTTGGCAACCTATACTATTTTTAAGTAGGCTTTCCGGTGGTTTTTATGGCCTTTAATAGAATCTAGGAAGACATGAAGATTTTGGAACGGAGTACACAATCTATTTTGGGGTCAGGCACTGCGTATGAAATGAGGACCTGTAATCTGTCTGATACTAGCAGAGCACTCCAGTGCCAGTATCTCGTTACAATCGGATTGTCGATATACAATTTGTGGCAGGCACGTGGGAAGTGCAGCTTAGTTGAAAGCTGAACTAGAAAATGATTACAGGGACATTGGCTCTGTGAAACGGCTGTTGCTTGATCACTGTACCTGCTTGGCAGGGCTGCCTGGCAGGCTGGCTATATATAGGTGTGACAGATAGCTGAAGGAATTGTACTTGTCACCTCTTTCAAGTTCTTGTCTTTTGCTGCCCATGTAGCTGCAAGAGACCAAAGGCTTTTTGGTAATTCCCAAATTCAGAGATGGATTAGTGTGCGTGTGGTTTCATTGCCAAGCCTCTTGGGCACTCGCTGCTACAAGTAAATCTTTTTTCCGACGTCCCGTGGCAGCGTTTTCAGAAGGGACAGAGTTTTGTGAGGCAGAGCTTCCCAGGCTGCCTTTGAAAGGATCCAAGCTAAGTGCCTTGGCTTACTGGCTTCTTCAGGTTTGAAAAAAGTATAGGGCATAAACAGAAGTGCAGCCAACCATTGTTTAAGAACCCGGTAACAGAAGGAGGTCTGGCTGGGCTGCCCTTTCCTGGCCACTGCTGTTGCAGGAAGTTTTGCCGACAGAGCATCGTTTCTCCTTAGCCAGGCAGTGGGCTAAATCAATAAAACCCAAGGATGAGCAAGTGCAGAGCTCCCTGGTGAATAGCATTGGAGATTGCATTTATTCCTGGGTTTATTAGAATGCAAACTCGCGAAACATTAGCATGAATGAAAGTTCAGGACAAAAAATTAGTTTTTGTAAAAAGCATTTGTAACAAAATGCTTCAGACCCACATGACAGAAGTGTCAAAGCACTGTGGTCTGTCACATCCCATCTCCTTGCAACAGCTGCATTGTTGAATGGGAAACTATTTTTATTTTTATTTTGAAATGCTCAAAACCCTTCTTTTCTGAGCCTTATTACATGCATTTATGAAGCTTCTTACTCTCTGTATTGAGAAGCATTTGTCCTTCTTTTCTATAGAACCCGTGGTTCCGGAAGTCACGTTTCAAAGGAGGAAAAGGCAAGAAGCTGAATATTGGTGGTGGTGGCTTAGGGTACCGTGAACGTCCTGGTCTGGGGTCAGAAAATTCTGTAAGTAGAGATGCTGAAGAAGTTGTTCACAGATTCTTGGAACTTTTAAATTTAGTATTGACTACTCTTTAATTTAAAAAATCCTCCTAGTACTGGAGTACAGCCTCTGCTTTCAAAGGTTTTCATAGCTCAGGATATTTAAGAGTTAGTATCAAAAATATCCGGAGTGAAACTGTCCTATGCTGTTACACTGTTGTCAAAGCTGCCTTCTTTAGAGCCAGAGTGATCCAGAAGGTTTGGAAATTCTTCCCAAAATAGACTGTCAATGCAAAATAAATGCTAATAAATTACTTGAAAAGCCATTTCCAAGCTGATTCTTGGCAACAAAAAGCCTTGCAGCATTGGGAACACCTACTGAGGTGTGCCCGTGCTGGGAAAAGAGCTCATTGCCAGTGTGTATGGGGATGGAGTTTAACTGTAGGCATGTTGAAAACACATCATGTTCAGCAGCTTTCCAGAAGTCACAGCTGAAGCCTTGTTCACACTTTTTCTTGGCTGTGACCTCTATGAAAATCTTCCATTCGACTGCATTTTGCTTTCACTTGTGCTGTAAGGAGCTGGGAAGTGTGGTTATACTGTTGACTAGTGAGTCACTAATTCTTGCTGCATCTTTACTTTTCTGTCATCTCCAAGGTCATGGGGCAAACTGTTCTGCTGCTCAGTGCTCTCCAGAAGTTTGTCATCCTTAGTAGATGCATTTCCTGAGCACAGGGGCAGGATAGATTAGAGAATGGTTGAACTGCAAGTGTCTCTGTTGGATAAATCTCTCCAGTTGTGCTTTGTCTTTTCGCTTAGGACCGTGGAAACAACAACAATGTGATGAGCAACTACGAGGCGTACAAGCCATCCACTGGGGCGATGGGAGACAGGCTGACGGCGATGAAAGCAGCTTTTCAGGTTGGTTTGATCGTGTGTGCTCCCAGTTCTAACTCAAGATGAAAGGACGTAACATGGCAAAAACTTACTGCTGATGAGTTGAGTTTGGTGGTTGGGGCCATGTCTCATCCACTTGGAGCGTGCACTCAGCGTTGCAGTCAGAATTAGTATGCAGGCTGGACAGAACATGGCTGCACAAAGTTAATTTGCCAAACTTACTTTGTTTTCTGCTGCTTCTTTG